AGGCGGGGAATCGGGGAATTGAGGCAGAACTGAGATATCTAGGTGGTACATATTTTCTTTTTTCCTTTTTCTGCCCCTTTGATGAGCCGAAGCCGTAATGAGATGAGCCTGGAAGTGGAGTTGGCTTTGGGACCGAAAATGAGGAGGCGCAGAAAGTCAATAGACGGTAAAACCATTTAAGCCAGCCACAGAATTAGGTTACCCATTACTACAGTCAATACTAGGAACTGCAAACTGCAGAATCAACACGCTTACCAAAAGGGTGTCTGTCTATATTGAAGCCATATCTTCAATGGGATGTGGCTTGTGCCTCGATGAGATCAGGGCGCTTAGCTCCTCGTCCTCCTCGAAAGGTGCTTCAAGAAAGGCAAAATATTTATTCACAGTTCGATAAATAAAACTCCATGTGCCATGTGCCGTGTGGCAAATGCAAAGGCAAGCAGCCAAGTCATGGATCTAATGGCCTGCTATCCATCCATCCAGCCAACCACCACCCGGCTATCCATCCCATTCATCCATCCATCTGTTGGGTGAACCATCCAACAAGCGGTAGTTTTAAATAAGAAATGAATACGACGCCTTTGTTCGGGCGCGGCGACTTGGACTTAACTTCAAGTTGCTTTCGGAATGGGATTGGGATTGGGATCGGGATTGGGATTGGGAACAGACTGCAGCTGAAGTTGCAGTTTGAATTTGAGTTTTAATATGGGTTATAGGTATATATATATATATACATACAGCAGTATTTGCTTAGCTTATGCCTCCTGCTCCGCCCTCCCGTAAGCCCCGGGCATTTAACACTTTGTATTTACTACCGCAGCTAAAGCAATTGAAATGCTCGTTGCCAAAGCAATGGAAATGGCAGAACGACTTAAGCACTTCTACCCTTGCAGCAAAAGCTGCACTCAGGAAAAAGTACTCCTTCTGAAGTGGATAAATATTACAACTCATTTTCTGTTTAACAATTCAAAAGCTTGCTCTTCCTAAATTGATATCCAATACAATTTTTCTTAACAAAGAGGAAATTAATATTTAAAATCAAAATACAAGCTTAATATTATATTCCAAACTTAGTTTCCAGTGTAGACTTATAGAAGGGAATGGTATCTTCTTCGGCTTACAACAATAATGTTGCAGCAACGTTGATTGGGCTGCATCAGAGCGTCGCAAGCGGCATTAGGAAGTGCAGCCACGTCTGGATCTGGATGTGGATAGATCCAGAACCGGGGCCAAAGAAATTGTTATGGCCCAGTACAAGTGAATGTCTGTCCGGCGTTTCTCTCTATTTATCTATCAGCCGTGTGTATGAGTATGTGGTTTATGGTTTTTTTTTTCTATCTTCAGCCCGTGCGTCTCCATTCCATGTTGTTGCTGTGGCTAGAAAACAATATCGAACTTAAGGGAGAGAATCAAACAAATAGCCGAACGTGATATCCACCCAAGAAACTGGGCGTTGGGCCAGGGCTAATTGGTAAAACTTCATCGAGCCATCGAACTGTCAATTGTCAAAAGGCAGCAGGTCGAATCAGGCCGCAAACTATGTTAGGAACTTGGCAAAAACATAATTCGCCCGGCACTTTTGGAGGGGAGACTGCCACTGCTCCAACTCGAACTGAACTTTGTGGGCGTTTGCAGTTTATATAGAGCCTAGGCCAATAATTTAAGAACTTCACGCTACACAAAGTTCAAGTGAAGTATGCCAGAGGTCTGGCTGCCTGCCTCGTCCTGAAAGATGGCAAACGGAAATTTACTGCAGGCACGAACAGCCAACGGAGCGGGTAGCTCCTAAAAAGGGGTTTATGGAATGGGAAATGGGTAAATATAGGGGCCCTCAAGCTGCAGAAAAGGGGGGGGCAGGAATATTCCGCGGAACGTAATATGCACATTTCCACACTTAATAACAAAATATGTTAAACAAAATCATTTGATGTTGGGTGTAATTTTTTCTCCAGCCTGATGGGGCCCGAGTGTGTTTGTGTTTGTTGCTAGAAGGCCAACAACACAAACACATGAACGCGAAACACATGTTTACATGCAAATTACATAAAGCAGCAGCAGAAGCAGCAGCAGTGGCAAACAAACGCAAATTATATGCTGCATACTTTTAGGCCTGCGACTCAGACTTCGTATATCGAGTTACCAAAGTAAATTGTATAGGGACTTTTCCCCTACATCCATTTCCGCAGAAAAACGGCGTCCAGACAATGTCGCGTCGCTTCCTGGGTCCTTTATGGCCGACCACTTCCCCCTCTTCAGGGCCTGCAAGTCGCCACTTTGCATACATTTAAAGTATTTTCGTTTAATATACCCTAGGAGAGGGTATGATTGTAGAACTTCTGAGGAATAGGTATTGAAATCGAAATGTATTGATCTATAAATGTTGTTATCAATATAAATATATTATTTTATTCCATTCTCTGCAGAAAAATAGCGATTTGAGCTCAGCCAATCATCTCCAAAAGTAATTTCCCTACTTTAAGACATATTCTCTTAAGGGTATTTAGTCTTTCGTTGTGAAAACTTTTCATGTTATTATTTCGTTTTACCGCCCTTGGTTGAAAGTCGTTGGCAACAACAAAAAAAAGAAGCCACGGCGGCGTAACATGTAAACAAACTCATTTAACTGATTTTCAGAAAGGAAAACGTGGCTCCTGGGCATGGTGGTTGGTAATGGGCGGTGAGATTGCCAGGGAGCATGCAGATTGAGAGTGGGTTTGGAACGACCGCATTATCATCATCATCTCGGCGCTGTTTTTTGTGCCCGCAACTCTTTTTCAGAAGCAGCAACAGCAGCAGCTGGCGCGGCCACAACCTGAGGCTAGATTTACATGTCACTCGACTTAAGTTGGTCCTGGTTCCAGGGCTCGGGAGCTTCTCCTGGTCTAAGAGACCTCACCTCATAGCCCCAGCAGTCGTGACCACGGTGACAAGTTAACTTTGCTCATTCTATCTGGGATCCAAGGATCCCGCAATCAGGATCCCCCTACTCCTGCCCCACCTTCATCTGGACATAATCTTTGCATAATTTCCAGCTCGGCTTCTCTTTCGTTTTGTCTGAGCCTTTTTTACTTAACTTTTTCCACCAACGTGCTACGAGCAACAAAAACGCCAAGTGTCAGCAGAAACAGGAAAATAAACTAAATACAATTTCATTCCATTTTGTTTTTGCTCTTTTGTGAGAGTGCTGGTGGCCAGAAAAAGCTGGACACGGCTGCGACCATTTGTTACTCGGGGAGGATCCGATTTATCCCCACACATAATTCCGTATGGAAATGCTTAAATTATGCAGATTTTATTGCCAGCCTTTTGGGGTACGAAAATGGCGGTCGTCGAATGAGATATACAGACCTGTTAGTTTCGGTTTACAAGATTTTAATAAATAACTGGCCAGCAAAGGCAATATGAGGACCGCTTCTCTCTTTTGAAATTGGACCAACAAAAGAGCAAAACTTCGCAGGTTGGGAGAGGGACTGACGGGGTGTACGCTTTCATGTGTACAAAATCAAAAGGATAATTGAGACATGTGAACAATATCCCTAAGTGCGAGACCCCAAAGCACCAACAACAGGCTAAACTCAATGAAAGGTCGCACATCAAAGGTGGCCCCCAGACATTTTGCCAGCTTACCCCAGATGAAAAGCAATTAACAAAAGTAAAAGCAAGACAGCCATGACTGGGAATGGTTGGGCAGGAGAAAAAAAAGAAAAACATAAAAGTCGGGAAAAAAGAAAAATATTAAATGCTTCAAAAAGGGGACTTTAGAGGGGGCACACACAAACGCACACACACGCAAACTTGGCCACCTCAAAAAAGTGCCTGGCACTCACAAAACTGCTTAAGAGGAGTGTGGCAAAGGGGAGCTAAATGCTAAAAGTGTGCACTTAAAACAAATTATTAAAAATTATAAAAATATAAGCCTAGAGGATTACCCAAAATAAGAAGTTTATCCGTTTTGTAGGCTTTGATGAATATATTCCCTAGCCTTGAGCTATGATATATTCATAATTTCTCTTTTCCTAACTTATATATATTTTTCTTCAGTGAAAAAAAAGTGGTAAGTGGGAAGGGGGTGTTCTCCGCACACATGCACGACAAAGCAGAATAATAAATTTCAATTCAGACGACGACATGACGTCTCTGCCTCACGTCGACGTGCATGTTGATAAGAAAGTGTACAACCCTTCCAGCTTCCACCCACCTTCTAGCCAGGTGCCACCCTCCAGCTCCCCTTATCTGCCCGCAGCTTGGGGGCAGTCGCTTTAGCCTTGGCTAAGCCTTTCGGCCAGGTCGGAATAACAGGGTAACCGGGGTAAAAACGCTGAATGCGAATGGGGAAAAAGTCGCGCATAAATGCCACGTGGATGAGCACACATACAGACATACATACTCTTACCGTGGAGTGCAGATGGGAAATGCGCAACGCAGCCCAAAGGTGTCAAGCGGAAAATAAAGCATAATAATGGCTGCAGCGTAGGGAACAAAGGATGAGGACAGGATTGGTGGGTCCACAAAACTCAGACACACGTCAGTCATTTAGGAAGCGAACTCGAGATGGGAGATGGCTAGGTGCGTAGGTGACGCATTATCCGTCTGACAATGACATCCGGAAAAACTTCATCGTATGTAGAACACATTATATGTACTTACTGACTACAATACACGTCAATGAGAGAGAGGGGAAAAAACCCCAAATGTGGTAATAATTTATGCAAAAGCTGCCAGCAGCATCAAAGAAAATATCAAATGAAGAGCGGCTCCTTCTCATATACTTAGCATAAGCCTCAAAAATAAGCCTCCTTCTGCCAGAATGGGAAATGTTATGAGCGATGCAAAGATACTCATACAAATCTAATGAGTTTTAATTTTGCCAACTTACTTATGATTCTGCTAATCAAAGAGAGAGTTTATTTTCAGAGTTGATTTCACTTTTAATTGAAGAAAAAGCTAATATCTTAAAACATTTCCACTAACCTGATGTTGTTTTTATTTGCATTTTTCAGATATATGAAGAAGATGCGAAGGCTCGACTCCTGACAGAGTCCAGACCTAGATCCCCCAGTCCAGTAACGAGTCCTTGGCCAGGACAAAGGGCCACTTGATGAGGGACCGAAGCACGCTGATCTGATTTGCAGGATTGAACAAGGGCGAACGATATAACCATAACTGGAATAGCAGAAAAAGTAATTTGGAATTGTGAATGCAACGGAGGAGGGAACGAGAGCGCTGCAAATTGTGTACATATTTTGTCTCTGTCTGTTTCCGGTCGCCTGCTATGGTGTAAGTGTGTATCGGTGTTCGTATCTGTGTCTATCTCTCTGTGTGTGTGTATATTTCGTGTAAATAAATGCAATGCAAAAACCGAAACAGAAACGGCAACATCACAAGAAACAGGAATAACAAGCGAAATGGCAAAAAGTGCAGTTAAGCGTGGAAATTGCATTAAAAATTGAGCAAAAAATTGTGAAAACACAAAAAAAAAAGAAAAGCGAAAAGCGTCGAAAAGACAAAAAACGGAACAAACAAAGACGCAAACGCTGAAGTTAACGAGCGCTAAAAAGCAAAAAAATAAAAACATAAAGCAAAAAGAAAACTCAAGCCGCCAAAAGGAAGAGTAAAGTTTTGATTGAAATTTTCACTGTGCTTTCATCCTTTTCGGGATTGTGTAAATTTCTGATTAAGCAACTAGACACCATCAACAAACGTAAAATAATACTGCCTCCGAAAAGGATTTTCCCACAACTTAACCTAATATCAAATATAAAATATCAAATATCGAAGAACTTTTCGTAATCGAGCAACAAAGCACTTGGCAGTTCGTGTTTCCCTTTTGTTTGTCATGACAGTTCGGGCCTACATTCTGCTATATTTTTTATTGTTTATGCACAGTTGCGGTTCTCCTAACCATAAACACAACTGACTGATATCGCAAAATTGAGCCGTGGAAACTGAAATTCAAGTGAGTCGTGCAGTAAAAGTCAAAGTCAGCTGGCTAAAGGCAGAAGGCAGGCCCCACCTAAAGTCCAAACAAAACACCACTCCACCCAGAAAGTCGGGTCGTTGACAAAGTAACGCATTTAGTGATAAGAGCCAAACGACTTTGGCAAAATGAGCAGCCAAAACAGGAGCAAAAGTAGCTGGAGGAGCACAGGGAGCACAAGGAACCCAAGCTGGAGCTGGCGAAGCACGGAGATGGTCCAACTATTGCTCCTTATCGTCATCGCAGTCGCATCATGTTTGCCGGGTAAGTGTCAACAGCAGTCCCTTTCCCCTGTCTCCTGTTTCCTGTTAGCATCTACAGACTTATCAGCCAGTTCCCGGAATTAATGCAAATATTTAACGTGCTTTTTTATGGATTTGTCGTCGTCATGCGGCTCGATTCAGTTGCTCCTTCTGCCCGGCTACCCCCCAAAGCCTATGTAGATACATCGAGGTCCTGTCATAATAAGGAGCTCTACAGAGAGCGAGACAGAGAAGCCCTCCACTTGACATGACTTGTAAATGGCTTTCGATTAAGTTGTCACATTAGCATTAATCTTCAGCTCCAAGGAAGCAGCCATCTTCGAGCTCATTGAAGTTCAATCAAGTTGTCTGGCAATCTTTTTACTCTCCTTTGCCCTCCCCTCAAGTAGAAACGTGCTAATGAGCCGTGAGCTGATGAGTTCACTCTCTTTTTGAAAATATTTCTCTCAAGCGGTGGTTCTGAGGTGATCTAGGTCAGCAGGAGATCTATCGAAGTGCTCACGAACGTTGTAATTGAAATATAATTACTCGCATGAAAGCCGCTTAAACCGTTCAGCCTTTAAACTCATATATATTCATTATTTCATTAACAATTCAAGCATTTTACAGCATCGCCGTTGAATATTAAATCGAACGGCAGTGGAAAACAAGGCGAAGCGTTTTAATAAATATTACCGCTTGTTATGCATATGAATATGCATTCGGCATTATCCTGAATGTTGTTTCCTCACAGGCGTAATCCGATAATCGTATGGGTTGGGGTTGGGTGGCAAGAGCTTAAGGCAATTACTGAAACCAATTGGTTTTAAATTTAAGAGGCCATTTCATCAGTTTTCCTTGCAATTTCGTTGTTGCTTTTCTAATCCAAATGACGAACTTAATGCCAAGTTCACATGGGGATTACGTATACGCAGTGCTAGGTCACCCATAAAAACTTTTTTGGGCATGCAAAACAATGAGGCAACATCGTAAATGATAGTTTTATTTAACTTTTTTGTTTGGGCGGTGATGGTGAGTGATCATTTCTTTTATTTGGCCATCACAAATCAGCAGATGGGCCCAACGTTTGTCATTTGATTTTGGTCTCACGGTTCAAAGTCCCTTTCATGTCATTTCATTTCGATTCGTTTTTCGCTTGGCATTGTTTCAGTTCGCCTCGTTTGATTCGCAATATTTTCATTTACAGCAGCAAATTCGAATTGGGAACTCTGCTATTTGTGTTTGTCTTTTGTCTTTGCTCTCTATTTGCTCTCCATTTGTGTTGTTTTCCTAATTCCAACTATTTGAAATGTTTTTTGTTTGGGAGGCGTAAGGGGAGAGAGGAGAACTACAAACAATATTTGTTGTTTACCCAGTGAGCATTTCTAATGTCGCTTGGCTTCTAATTCGGAATCGAAAATAGTTAATGCGAAATTAATTTCCAAATTGAACCAGAGTCATAAATAAAACATTCGCCTCGATTGGAAAGAGCTCTTTTTCCTTTCATGTTCTTCGCTTTTATGGCAGCGACAAAAATTGGTCTCAATAAAAATTTACGTTTCATAAAATTTATTATGTATGCAATACAATGGCCTTAACACACTCAGCGGGATGCATGGGGATGGCAAATCAAAGCAGGAATGACCAAAAAACAACAAGGAAATGAACGACTTTATATGCAGGATAATGGCCAGGACATCATGGTGGTGGGAATTCCTCACGTATGTGTTTGACTGTCCGTATGTCTGTGTGTTTTTGTGGCACTCAAGCAGGCGGAAATTTATTACGGCCATGAATGTGTGTGAGCCTGAGAAGAGATCGGACAATCCTTGCCCCATTCTGGACACTTGAACTTCCGACAACTATTCGGCTTTATTCGAAATCATTGACCAAATTCTTAAGTAATCAAACTGAAAGTTTTCATCTATCTCTCTCAACTGTGCCCGATAAGACCTTTCCACTCGCCCAGATAAATACAAATCATGCAAACTGGCCAAAAAAAAAAAAAACAGCAAAGGCAGCAGCAGCAGAGGAAAAAAGTTCAACATGACTTTTCAATTTTGGAATGTGTTTAATGGGCTCCAGTTGGAGTATCCGTATAGCCTCTACCATCATGTGTGTGGGTGAGTGGGTGCAAACAGCTGACTGTTAATGGAAATTGGAGCCATATCACTGGCTCCTACATAAAATCTCAAAAGTTTAGATAGGAAAAAAGGTTAGAGCCGAGCCAGCTTGGGTGGCAACTTTTAATGGCCCACTAAAATAATGAAAGCCAAGACTTAATCAAGACTTTTTAGACCAGGTAGCAATTTCAGTCTTGTTTCAATCGATATTCTGACAAAATAGATGGCACTTTTTATGACTCACTGGGAGTCGAAGAATCCAAATGAGAAATTTGAACATTCTGTTACTTTTCTTCTGGTCATAAAGTTTACTAAAAGTTTTCGTTAAAACAGAAGCTCCAAAGTGAGAACGAATAGAAAGTGCCTAGTAATGCTATTAGAACATAGAAAGAACTTAAGTCACCCAAAGTTGTTAAATATTTCCCATAAATTCCACCTTTGAGACACATTAAATGCTGTCACGCGTGTGTAACAATTAAAGAAAATCGCGACCTGCAGAATTACGTGGAGAAAAGAGTGGAAAATATGGGAAAAAATGTCGCCAGCAGTTGCCAAGCTACCGAGCACGTAATGAAAATATTTTGCACATGTAAAGATATATATATCCTGGAGAGGTGGGCGTGGTCTCATGTGATTATATATACATATGTATATATATCCAAATCCAAAGGCGTTTGTATGCGACGCCTGATTGCAAACAGCTTCCTGTTGCGGCACGCGCCTAATTAAATTAGAGAGCGCAGCATTTGGAGCTCAATTGCGGATGCAGATGAGGATGGGGAATAGAATTGAATGGTATCAGTACGACGACGACGAGAACAACAACTACAAGGACAACAGCTTCCCCGGCAGCTTAATCCGCAAACAAAGCAAGTGTAAAGAGGGATCCCAGCGGGTGTGTTGGGTCCTGGCATGTGCCCTGTCATCGATTTCCCCCAGCTTTTCTGGCTTCTCAAGGACCAAAGCATATTTTCGCCTAGCAAAATTATGCACAAATTTTTCAACCGTAGTTGTGTTACTATGTGTGTGTGTGTGTGTTGGTAAACAAAGTCGGGCAAATATGTGCATACACATGCACAGGAGTTGTGGGTAGTGGAAGTCCTCTCCCCCAGTTTGTTGGGGCTTTTCTAATGCAAAATAAGCCAAAAAACAAAGCAAAGGCCAAAGGAAGCATCTATCCAGCTGCCAGTCATGGTCTCATCTATCTCATGGCCCTCTCCCATGCTCAGATTTGGTAAAATACCCTGCCTGAAAGAAATTTCATTCATTGGTATTCATAACACTTTTTAGTTTAAATATTTCTTAAATATTAATTTGATTAAGTGAAAGGATATCTCTTTGTGCTAAGCAATATAGAGATGTTTATTAAAATATAATTTTAGGGCTATAAAATTCTTCACTTTCATCACAAATCTAAGTATATTCCCCTTCCTTTCTATACACCTAATAATTATTAATTATTTATTAACAAAATACAGATTTAAGGACATTTCTCCCCGTGCATTCCCTTTGCATTTCCCATTTTCACTGTGCCCTACTAAATTTCGCACAGATTAAGGATTTTTCCAGCTGCAGTTGAAGTCGAGTCGACGTTGTTGAGTTTTTGTTGTTATGCATTTGTTTTTTTTTTGTTTTCATTTTGGTTGTTTCATGGCCAAGGGGGCTGGCAACGCTGAAGGGGGCCCAAAGCCCCATGGCAATGGACTATGTGGGTGGTTGTTGGGGTCATGGTCGCCGTATCCCTCTCGACTCACCCGAACTGAAAGTCTTTTGGCAGCAAACAACATTCATTATGCATGCATTTTAAATTGTAAATTTCACTACCTTGCAGTCAGAGGAAACCTCCTTGAAGCCGGCTGCCAGAATGGATTTGGTGGCAGCCACAGCTCCTGTTCCGGCTTTTCAGCTCCTCGTTCCGGCTAAGATGCTGTCAGCTTTGGACCAGGCTAAGACCTACTGATGCGCTTGATGAGCTTTTGGCCATATTGTTTGAATTTTTACCAACTCACAGGGCTTAGACCGCCTTTATGTTCCCCTTCGGGATTTTCCTTTTTGCCTTCGCATTTCCCAAGAATAATACTGCCAAATTGAATTATGCCAGGAATGGGGCCAAAAAATAAATCAAAACTTTGAAACCGTTTAATCGCTTAAACTTATACACATTTTCCCATTACTAACAAAACACAAACTTAGATATTTGTTAATGAGTTGATCATTTTCATGCACTGAACCGAGTGCTTGAGTTAATTTGATTAAATTAGTTGCACCATCGGCATTCCGGCAACAAATTGTGGCCATTTAAAGTGGCCCTAAAACTTCAAACTGCTTAGAAAGTATTATGTGGAGACGAGGAGCCAACCAAATTGAATATCTCCTTTCAAAATTGCCATGACAACTGGTTGGGTAAGGGAAGGGCAGGGAGCTGGTTTGAGGAAATTCGAGCGTCAGAGCCACCGAAAAGTTTGTGGCGCCTCAAAACTTTTGTCTGTATGTGAGGCATTGGATTTTGGGGCATAGATCAAAAACGCAAAAAGGGGTTAGGTTAGAGGGGCTCAAACCTAAGCTCAGGCCGGCTCTGATGGCGATGATGGAGATGACGATAATGGGCATTCAGGCAAATAGGCAAATCCGAAGGCAGGGACTCCGGACTATGGACTACGGACTCCGGACTCCGGACTCCGGACAGGTTGCCATTGTTGGCAAGTGGCAACAAAGTCAGGCAAACAAAATCCGTCCAGAGGAGTTATATCTCTGTCTATGGACTTCGGGGCACCCCACCCCCTTAACACACACACACACACGCACATGCCAAAGCCTTTTGGGTCAAAAACTTTTCAAATACCTAATCCCCATGCCAGTGGTAAGAATGGGTGGAGCAAAAAACGGAGGCTTAGGTCTC